GATAGTGGAATCTATGTTTCTATATCTTTTTGTGATGATGATGATATATATACATATATATATATATATATATATATATATATATATATATAATTGCAGACCATAGCCACGGTTACCTCGAAAATTGACACTCAAATCACTGATGACAATGACAATAAAAAAAGTCTTAAGAATTCATACAGGTTCCACCGTTGTTACGAGCAAATGAAATCAGTTTGTGCAAATAAAGATAAAACAAACATAAACCATGAATATATTTATAATCAGTCTTGACTACTTTAGTTAGTAGTGTTTAGTGTAATCAATAGTGTGCATGAAAAGACAATAAATTTTTAATATAAAAACTCACATAATTTCAAAATTATTTCAACATTTTAATAGGAAAAAAATGATCAGTAAGGGATTGTGGAGATTTTTGAGTTTCTGATTGAGATCATGAGCCGATTGATGCCATACCACCGTTGGAAACTTGGATGGACTGGACGGCAGTTTCGTCCTATCCCGTGAGCAGGATCGTGGATGTGCACTGTGAGGAGCCCCAAAATAGGACAAAGCGGCCGTCCAGTGCTACCAGGTTTCCAACGGTGGTTTTACATCAATTGGTTCATGACCTCAATCAAAAGGAAAATAATGAACTAAAATCTTTGCTTTATAATAATGGTTATAGATATCAGACATGGAAAACAAGTTTTGAAACATTTCATTAATATACAATATATTCATTAATCTCTTATGTCATTATTGTTGACATGGAAAGTATTGTAAAAGCTCATAAAGTCACGCCAATATTTCTATTGTAAATGTCATTCTTTCATGAATAAATCTCTAGTAGAAAAAAAAACGACTTATTTCTAACAAACAAAAAAAATATACTTTCGCTTTTAAATATTGTACTTTTCAAATTTACTAACAGTATGAATGACAGAATAACTTAAATAAATCTCTTCAGTCTGACAACTATAACTAGACAAAAACGGATCTAATTTACAGATGAGCATTATAAAAAAACCAGTGGTTTATGTTAAATGAATTCATTGTAAATGGATACAACTAACCTAAATGTACATAGTGGATTTTGGTAATTCTGTAAGAATATTGTATAATTAGAAGGTAGTAATGACTTACTTATAGAAGTCTTCTATCTCTTGTGGATCACCGGTTGCCGACCAGGGTTCTCTAAACAACTTTACCACGGGAATTCACAAGAGTATGCAATAGCAGTTCAATATGAGATCAAACAAATGATGATGATTTGTCTAGTGTCAACAACATTATTTTTCAGTTCTACATTCCAATATTGACTAGTCTATCTTTTGAACTTTTATCGAGTTATGAAATTCAAAGTTTCATTTACAAATTACTAACTGACTTCAGATCTAATTAGTTCCTCAGTTTAACAATCCTCAATATTGTAAACTAAACACACATATTACAAATGTATTCCATTTTATTTTTATTACACTTTCAAAGTATCTTCTATATCTCCTGAATAATTTGTTGATATCATGAGAGTATGCAACATATATCGTGTAGAATACAACTAATATTCAGTAAGGACGTTTCCGATATTCAGGAAGATCTTTAAATAATCCAATATCGGATATGTATTGGTGATTATGTTTAGATTTAATAAAATGACGAAATAATTCACAGGAATCAGATCATCATGATATTGTTTTTCTAGTACAAATTCATCTGAAATACTGAATAGTTTGAAACAGTTATGAAACTAACTAAATTAGTTTAACTTATTTGAGTTTTCTTAGAAACAACACTTTGAATATATAAATGAAGTGACAAACATATGCTTCAAGAATCATCGATGATTTATAGTTATGATACTGTCTATGAAAAATTTCTTAAACTTATAGACACTTTTAAAAAAACATAACTAAATAAACAATGAAAGTTCTGAATTTGAACAATGAATAAAAAATCGAAAACTTTTACAATTTTTTTAAAATAATGATTCCTAACTATCACCAGGAAACTAATTAGTTGTATTGAATAACGTTTTACTGGAATTTCACTGAAAGCTATTCAGTTATTGAGATCTATGTTTATCAGTAGATTTGGATTACGTAATTTAAGTTATGCAGTAAAATTTCAGTTTTTCAAACAAACGTATTTTTAACAAAGATGGATGGTGGCTAATAGTGGAATCCAGGACGCGCGTTTCGTCCTATTTGGGACTCGTCAGTTGGATGTACTTGCATTCTAGAATTGATGCCCACTCTGGGACTCAAACCCAGTTCCGTTTGCCATCGCTTATGAGTCCTAATAGCTACCTGCTTATGCAAGTCTCAATACACTTGTTGTTGTTTGCTTGTATCTTTCTACTGTTGCTAACTGGATGACGCGATGGAGTTTAAAGCGAACAGTTCTGGGTTCGAGTCCTGGGATAAACAATAACTCTGTGATGCAGGTACATCCCGCTGACGAGTCCCAAATAGAACGAAACGCGCGTTCTGGATCCCACTACTAGCCACCATCCATCTTTGCTGATAATGCTCAGAACTTAAGGCAACATCGATGTAATCCGCACAGGATGCACATATGCCAATAAGAGACCGATCAATTGCAATCCTAACCATCAATGAGAAGATACAAGCAAACAACACCAGGTGAATTTAACTTATTTCAAACTTTTCCATCATTAAAAATTTCTTGGAAACAGTAAAATATCATGGTTTAACATTTTATAATTTAGAATGACAGTTTAAACTAAAAAGAAATTGAAAAATGGCATGATATATGGCACATTCATTTATAATTTAAGTTCTTTACATTTGGTTTATATATATTACGTTGTCATGAAATGTCAACATATATAAATTAGTAATGATTCTTGTTGTTTAGTTGATATAATGGTTTACATACGAGTATCATCTTTTAACTGAAACTACATAGTTTTATCCTATAAGTTAGCATGCAGTTGTATTGAAATTCTTATAAATTTAGTACATTGATGAACATAATTTCATTCTAAAGAATAATCGTCAAAACGAAATTCTATGTGTGATTATTAAAGATTCAATTGGAAATCGAATGGGTAATCTATTAGAGTATATCTATTGTCATTATCTCATCATTTTTTAAAAATCTGTTACACTTCAGACATATCCTTCTGAACAGTATAATAGGCTTCTGAAACTTCTGGATCATGTATATTTCAACTACTATCAAACTTACGACATTAAACAAAAAGATTAACATCATAGATAAATTATTATAGGTTATGTAACTGCAAAACATTTAGGTAAATTACCAATGATAAATGCCAACATTTTTTGTATGTCCTTAATTTAAATTACATCAAAGGGTTAGTTATAGTTACTACTTATTCATCTGCTATGTATTAGTACGTACAGTTCAAGATGATTTCTATTTTCTTACAATAATGAAAATGTATAATTTCAGTTCAACCATATTGAAAATGTACACTGGATACTGTCGTTAAAAATGTTAACTTAGTGAATAAATGTTTAATGTATTCATTTATTGTGAATTAATCAAACAAATTTTCAAAACGAATAGTTGCTAGCAGAATAGAATTCAATTTTTTCTATGTATATAAATGTACTTTATATAAATAAACATAATGTTTTTAAGGGTAACAGATATAAAATAATTGAGTAACATATGATATTTAAAATAGGTGATATTTCATCAAAATCATTAGTAACAAATCTATGTCAAACCAAACTGATACAAACTGTCGTCTAAATTTGAATGAATAGTTTCACAATATTTGGGCGCCGAGTTAATGTGAGTCATTAAAGAGGAAGAATACGTATTTGTAAAATCTCAGCAAATGAAATATATATTCTTCCTCTTTAATGATAAAAAATGTTTTTGCATTATTCATGGTTGGGAATGACATAAGGAGCTGGTATTTTAAAATCTTAGCTAATAATTGTAAACTATGCAACTTGGTGTATAGCAAAGAAAACATTTGAAATATTCCCAAACATTTTGATAAAGATTTAGCTATTAAAAAATAAACTCTGATTACGAGTCTCACTTATTTACTAACACTTAATTCATCTATTGGAGCATAGACCGCCTACCAGGGATATTTATGCAGCTCTTTCACGAGCTCTCGCTTTCAGTTATTGCCAAATGCCTTGAAGATTTCAAGTTAGTGTTTGCCCAGTGATGTAATTTGACCATTGTCGTAGAAACGGACCTATCCAACACGAGCGTCTTTTCCTAATTTCCACTTTAGCTGAAATCTAGTCTGTTCTATGCCGCAACAGACTATTGCTGATGATGTCCGATCAACGAATTTGGAATATCTTGTGGAAGTAAATTTTTATAAATTTTTGTACCTTTCGATCATGATTTCAGTAGTCTTTCAAGTTTCAGCTCCTTACAAAGGAACTGTCTTAACCTTAATGCTGAAAATTTTAACTTTTGTATTGTGTTCTAAATCTTCTTCAATTGTAGGAATGTTGACTCCACTTTGCTAATGCATGACTTCACATAAGCATCACATCTGTTGTTTGACAGTGATACTTGTCGAGGTATGTAAAAGGTTCCATTTCTTTTGAAGATTCTCCATTAAGTGTATTTTGACTGTTTTGCTCTGGGTCGCATTTCAGGATATTACAGTATATGTCTTTTCCTGAATGACTGTTGTTCATAAGGTAATAGAATTATTCATCTATGAGGTCTGAATCGTCCGGTTTTACCTAAGTTATTCACTGTACTCCATGTATAGTGAACGGGGACACAAGTGGGGATAATCGAATGTATTTGAATACAAATACAGAACACCTTAGTAAAATCAACAACCAAACAGTAAATACTTAATTTGCAAAATGTCAATCAATCGCCTTAGGTTTCATTGTTTTTTTTGTTTCAAAGCCAATCATTATTTGTTCTCGTTCTCTTTTCTTTGATCTTCTTAACCTTCTGCTCCCAGGTATTTCACCTTCGAATGATGATATATACTATTTATATCTGTCGACATCAGTAACAAACACCACACTCGTACCCTCTTTAAAGCAGTCGTTCTTGAGGTAGTTCTGATAGCCATATCACGTTCTTCTTTTCTACAGTCTATGCTGCGCTCCTCTTCAAGGTGTATTGTCTGCGACGCGTTGACCTTTGTAGATTCGTTGATCTGCCGGGCCATCAAAATCCGACGTTCACTCAGCACCCGTGACGTTCAACACATTCTTCCTATAAAATATGAAGGTCTTCATGATCCAGTCAACAGATAGGTAAAAGAGCAAATGTGAGTGTAAGTAACCTTGTCTGACTTCGCTTAAATCACAAGCTTTTTTCATCTACTATTTTTAAAAAACAACTGTCAAGTTCTTATTTTATACAGCTTTTAAGTTAACTATTGAACTATATTCTAACTACTAAACAACACCATTTAACAGTTATAGTAATGTTTTACTCATTTTACAAACATATGTCATGGAAATGGATGAATGTAAGTTACTATATCCAAACCGATAACTTGTTCAGAATTAAAATGAAACACTTAAATAAAACTTCTTAGTTTTCAATTTTTTGTTTTGTTTTTCCATCTACTAAATCGTAGATAAAACTTTCATATTACATAGTACGAAATCAAAACTTCTTAGTTGTCAATATATTTCATTAAATGATGCTAATTATAAAACTATATACATTAGCTAATTCATTGTTTCTTCATATTTTTTTATTTTTTCTTATAATTGAATAGTTGTGTTTTATTTTTATTAATCCACAAAAAAACTTATTCTAGATCTCGTCAATATTCATTTATCCTGTTGTATCCATCCTTATTTTCTCAGTTTCATTTCGAATGAATTACTTGATGAATGTGTTTTCCTTAATTGAATAAATGTAAACAGAATGAGAATTAAATAAATTTTCATCATTGGTTAGTAGGGAATTATAAAAAAGAAAATAAATATAAATACGCCTACTTCATTTTTAGAGTAAACTAGTTATGCAATAACACCCACTATTATGTTTTATTGGTTCATTATAATGAATAATAAGTTTAATATAAATAAAATGAAAGTTTAATGAATAAGTAAAGTACATGACAGTATAACTCAGATTGAGCCAGTTACTTTATACTTATCCATGGGCTATTTAGTTTTCATCACTTATTCTCGTTTAATAATCATGACCATTGCATAATTCAATTAATTATGTAATGAGTTTGTTTTCAAAAATGCAATAATCAATGCAAGACAATGGTATTTACTCATTACATATTAATACAAATCGTAATCGTATTATTATCATCAATAAAAGTATCATTAATGGCATCATAAACGAGATAATAGTTTCGAATGACACAATGACAGATGATTACAGCTTATGGAACACTATATTACTTGGAGTTCTATTAATTATTGCTGCCTTGTTAACTATAACTGGAAATGTTCTAGTTTTTATAGCTTTTCTTCGTGAAAGATATATGCGTAAAAATTTAACTAATTGGTTTTTGGTTTCATTAGCTATAGCAGATTTATTAGTTGGAATTATTGTTATGCCATTTGCTATTTATCATACATTATATAATGCATATTGGCCATTTGGACGTGATTGGTGTGATATATGGCATGCATTTGATGTATTAAGTTCTACAGCATCAATATTGAATCTCTGTGCTATAGCGTTGGAAAGATACTGGGCAACTGAGAATCCTATCACGCATACATCAATGAGAACACGACGTCATTGTTTATTAATGCTTACGTTTGTATGGATTTGTTCAGTACTTATATCATTTCCAGCAATTTTTTGGTGGAGAAATACACAGGATTATGATATTAGCTCTTTGAAAGTATGCCAATTTACATCGGACAGTATTTACTTATTTGTCTCATCATGTGTGTCATTTTATATCCCATTAGTGGTTATGTTAGTTGTTTATGCACGCATTTATCGAACTGCTAATAATTTAATGAAAAGTTTTAAAACTGGTGAAAAAATTGTTTACTCAAATCCAAAGCAACAATCATCATCAACTCTGAATTTTCAAGCAACTAATGTGTCAAATGAAAAAAAACAAAAACACTGGCTGAAACACTATCACAGTAAAATAAAAACACAGAATTTCATTACACCACAAATTGGAGATAAAATGATACTACGTGTTCATCGTGGAGGAAATGCTACTAACAAATACAGTAATAGAAGTAATAATACATTTAAAACAACCAAATTGAAGACACATCCTAAACCTCATCGTTCACCTTTCAATTATTTTGATAAGGGTATAATAAAACGAAGAAAAATGAATGATTTAACAAATCTCAAAAGTTCACTTTGTTTAAATAAGCATAATATTAACACAATGTCAAATATCAATACAAGAAGTAACATCATTTCTAAAAGTTGTGTTTTGAGTAATTCTATAATTTCTTCAGTAAGTAAATTTGATAATCGTCAGTTGAAATCTGATAAAAATCATTGGAATCATACAAATTCTTTAATGCAAATTCCAATTCATTCTCAAATTCTTACTGACAATTTTAATAATCATAATAAGTTAACAAATAATCCATTACAAGATCAAACTAGTTTTAAACGTTCATATTCATTCAGCATCCTTAGTTGTTTATCTCATTCACAAGATAGTCAAAGATTAAAAAAATCTCAATACCTGAAATCACAAATATTACCATTTCAATCATCGATATACACGAAGAATCCACAAGCGTTACAATTTAAACAATGGAATAGTACAACATGTCAATATGAACAAAATCAGTTCACTGATTATCAATCTAATAATAATATAGATAAAAAGTATTCAAAAAATCATTCTGGTGTATCAAGTGACAAGTGTAAACATCCAGTTGCTAGACTTAGTATGAATCAACAAAATATCAACAATATTTCACTGATGAATTACACCACTGCAAATTTTACTTTGGTAAATGTGAATACTACTATGAATTCTAATTCAGTTGATAATACAAATCAAATCGAAATTAATTCACTATCAAAAACAAAATGTTGGATAAATCAGTTGAGAGAGTTTGCTAGAAAAAAATGTGTTTGTAAATTTGCACGTGAACAAAAAGCAGCTAAAACGTTAGGAATTATAATGGGATTATTTATAATATGTTGGTTACCATTTTTTGTTTGTAACATTCTAATTGCATTCAATCCATATTCATTAAATCAAAATAATGTGTTTAAACAAGTTCACATTTTAGTGACCTGGTTAGGTTATATAAATTCATGTATTAATCCAATTATATATGCACATTCAATGCATGAATTTCGTAGGGCATTTAAACGATTGCTATGTTTTCACTGGTGGTATCGTAAACAAATTCAGCTTAGGAAATCAACCTCCTTTAAAAGTCGTTGTTTATCTCATCGTATAACTTCCCATCATTATAATCATAGTCATCACCACCGACATCATCATCATCATTATCGTCATCACCAACATGATCAGCATCAGTCTGATGATCATTTATGTAAATATAAATTTGAAACTATCTATGAAACACATCAACCAACACCAAAATATCCCAGTGTTACAGATTATCAGTTAACAAACTGTCATTTATTACATCAAGATCATGAGAACAGCTATTTATCGTATAGTATACTTGTACCAAATTTAAGTGATTCTATTTGTTCTTAAAATCAATAACAATAATGAAAGAAAATCCAAAATTATTATTTTTTTTGGAATAAATTTATATAAAGATTCTTTTTTAATTAATAAACTGAAAAATAAAGTTCTTTTAAGAACTAACCATTGCTCAACAACAATAACTATTGAGCCATAATAAAGAAAGATCAATTATTGCAATGTAATCTTAGTACAAATGGAATAATTCTGTAAACCTTTTATTGATTTTATTATGCTGTAAGATAATACTATTTTTTTTATAATATACTGACATGCCATCAATTTCATCTAAAATGATATTTCTAAGAAAAGTGAGTATATAATAATAAATGTAAATAAGACTGTTTTAAATGTGAAAGATGTTAGTCAATTTGTCTTTTTTTCTAATCAAATATCTTCAGTTAAGTCGAGTATATCCTTCTGAAGATAAGATCGGCATTAGGTTGATTAGACAATAACTCTTGTAATAAGTTGAAATGTAAAGTGATTTTAGTATTGGACTCCTCAGGAGTGTACATCCACGATCGTGCCCCATGAGATTCGAACCAAGGACCTATCAGTCTCGCTCGAGAACGTTTAACCTTGTGGTTCTGAATCTGACCCCATTTAGATCAAATGAATGATTACTGTCAAGATTTAAATCTTGGCTATCCTCGTATATAATCATCGACTGGAATCGCGTTAGTGAATAACGGGATTAAATAAGTCAAATACGAGAACGGATTTTTGAATACATATATTTTTTACACTCAGTGATCTGGACAGACAATCAAAGTGACGAAGCGAAAATAAGAGAGCGAAACGAAATGATGCGCGTTGGAGAAGGTATGTGAGCCACCCTCACTTTAATCAAGCGTTAATCGATGTTTACAGCCGAACAAAAATTAGTTACAGATATGTGATGAATAGGATAAGAATTGCACATACATATGCTCACATAAAAACAGTCAAGGTTAATAAACGAATAATGTGACTTAAGAAGGATGAATAAATTGGCCTGTTAGGAAGCTAGAATCTGCTAAATTGGCTTAACATAGTAACCGACACTACAGCACCTTTTAACATACTGCTACGTGTTCAGTGTTAATGTTTACAGTACTTAGCCAGTAGCTATGACTAAGTGATTAGATTTTCTGCGGATACTGTACGCTCTTCTACCAAAAGCTAATCGTTCATCTTATTTAGAATCGTTTTAATAGAACAGTCAAAATGCTGTTATATTATTATTCACGAAGTATTTAATGTATATTTTTGAGTTAGATCATAAATGCTTTTGAGTTTATTGTGTACATCAAACATCAGAACAGAATATTCCTGTATGACTAAATATTAGATAACTAATTTCTCTTCGTTACTTTCACACTGATTACAATAGTTTTTCCAATGAAATAAGATCATTTTTATTGAAGGTAAAGTCTAAACAAGGTAGATAAGCAACAAAAATGTTTTTAGTTCCTTCATTTATATGCTTAAATAAATTACGATTATCAGCATGCATCCTTCTTTTTACACATGGAATTTTCTGTATGAGATAATTATAGGAAATGAATTGCTAATTGAATCTTTACACGAACAAGCTTCACACACATACACACGAAAAGCAGAGTAAAATTTTTTTCTTTTAAAAATCAAACTGTATATCAAAGCTAGCGTATTGCATCGATGCATTCAGTTTTACGTGACCATTTGTATCATGACTCATAATGAACTTTTTCTAGAGTTCACTTACATCCTACTGATTATACTAATGAGAATGATATTTATTTTGGTGACGTTTTAGAACATCCAATGAGCAAATCAGGTATAAATGAACATAACGGTAACATATTTTAAACTCGTTTGTAAAAAGATTAGCGAAATGTCACTATTATCCTCAGTCTACTCAATTTTAAAATTTTTTAATCCAAACTTTCAACGATATGTGACTTGTCAAAATATCAACCTTCTTGTAATAATGATATAGATGCCACACCAGTCATATAGTTGTGTGGCCACATGAACTCAGTATCTCAGTAGATAACACGTTAAGTGTTTGAAGCTAAAGGCACTAGTTTCGACTCTCAGTGTGAATATAAACACTAGTATTCAGGTACCCCTAGTGAGCGAGATTCCTCTTCTGGTCATACTTCATCAACCCTGTTTAGACTTGTAAAATATGGTTATACCGAAACAACTCAAATAGGTTGCACATATGATAACAATTACTGGTCAAAATTATCAACAACGGAATGATATGAATCTTATTAATTGGCGAAACAATAAATGTAATGAGAGAAGACAATGAACAACATCTTCCTCCACCACTATGCAGGGTTTAAATAAATAATAGAATTAATCAAAGCTCATTCTTTGTAATGTTGCATAGAAGCTAACTGAATCAGATGATTAGACTTGTTAGAACCTTGAGTATGTGAAAATTCATACCCTTTTTGCATATTCAGAAAACAATACGTTGAGTCTACTCCTGTAATATAGGTTTTCATTTCATTTCAGTGGCGATTTGGTTAATCACCTCTTCAAACTCGGGTTTCAAAATGCCATATTCGAGCTTACAAATAATCACTGATGAAAAATTTAAGATTGTAAGAGTAGTTTATGATTAAAATATTTATAAACCATACAAAATATTTCGTCAAATCATCTAAATAAAATCTCATTCTTTCTTATTCCATTACAGTGTAACATGATTCATTGTAATTTTACCTAAATCCAGTCCATTGGTCTGGTTTAACACGATATTTAGTCAAGTAAATTGAAAACCTATGTCCTATATTTACCAAACCTTTGGATGTTTTCCAAGTTTTATCGACTTTTTTCTATTCAACTTCGTTGATTAATTACTCTAGTATTTAGTATTAACGGTCTACTATAAAATTCATACATTACATGCTCACATAAACTCATTTAAACAAGCAAACAAACATACAAATTGATTTAGAATCTTACATCTGTACAATATTACTAAATGGAAACACTACTTGGTCGAATGTAGCAATTTATCAACCATAACTAAGGAAAATGAAACATTCATTCAATTGCTCCCAAACACATGTCAAACCAATGTCGATTTTTGTGTGATTTTCATTTAACTTTAATATCACAGGGATCTCAGCTAAATATTTATAAAGGTGTCGATTTCTTATAAGATTTTAAAATTTTTCATAGAAATATAAATGAATTGAATGAGACAGTTAAATAAACTTCACAATTTTAAGGACAATAAAAATCTGCACTTGAACTGTAAACCTGATTCCTTATATTGAAGTTAATAATCAGCTTATCAACCATTGAGATATGTGTATTAGCGACATTCTCAAACTTATTTTCCAACTGTATGAAAATCATTATTTTGTGAATTATTTTAAGAGGACAACCACATATGTAGTGATCCTTTATCGTATCCAAGTCGCTCTATACGAATTTTGCGACCTATTGAGAAAATAAACCAAGATGGAATCATTAAGTTAGTTGCTATATATTACTTTCCATTCGTTTTTTGGCAAAACCTGAGCTGAATGTTTTAAAACTAAATTATCAAATATGTTACACAATGAGAGAAAATTTTGTCTGCTGAAAAAGGATATCACTAGATCAAAACTGGTCAGAAAACTTCGACAGATTGTCATTAATGAAAAACGACATTTTCAGTATTAACAAAAGAAACGAATATCAACTTATTTCAATACTATATATTTGTCCTGAAAGTTTTTCACTGTAATCAGATGTGTAGTATTTTAAAGAGCTATTTTTATTCTTAGAGGATTATATATAGTTGCTAACGCGATACTTGGAGAGCACGTAATTTAGTCCCTCTATATTTGTCAAATAAAGTCTAACCTGTATCGGTATTCTATCGTCTTAAGTTCTAAGCAGTTATATACTTATACTAGTTGATCACTAGGTAGAAAATAACATTGCCTTGCATAATCCTTAGTATTGATCAACTCTAATGGATAATAAACTTATTGAATGACCTTTGGTGGTTAGTGGGAGTTGGCTAGAAATAAACAATGATTTCATGTCATATATTCTAGTAGCCTCATTTCAAATTTAAGAGATAAAGACCAAATAAACTAGATTTACCGTCAGCATCTCCTTCATACAGTAATTCAGTCAACAGAAGAGTAACTGAATGATATGATCTCTCCTTGTGACAAGAAATGACTTCCGTTTGAAATGCAAAGAACAATTCAGTCCCATTATTAATGTAGGTATAAGTTGACAATAATTTTAAATTTTACGGAAATCCTAGCTCTAGGAGTTCATCCTGATTGCTGTTATTCTTTCGACGCTGAATAGTTAACATTCTCAAATTTAAAAGACAATAATATACTGAAAAATATAACCATATCAACTAATTATATCTATTGAAATGTTTGAATCTTTCATTATAGATAATATGCTCAAACAGTCTGTTATAATAAAACATTAACTTGCTTTATGAACACAACTTTTGAATTATTTTCCTTACTTTCTAACCAGTCAGTTACAATTCATGTTTGCAAAAAAATAAATAAAACTTTAGTTAACTGAAATATCTTACTTATTTGTAAATGATTATGATTATATTATTAAATAATAATGAACATTGTTTGTTTATAATATTACTACCATAGAGATTAACATTATTAGATATCTAGATAACTAAACAAAAGATAGTTTTCATGCATATCTTGACCTTGTCTATAAAATACCTAAGTGATATATATCAGATAAATAACGAATAGTTTTGAAAATTGTAAAAGGCTAATTAGTGAAGGATTAAGAAAAAATAAAGGGAATAATTTGTTAGAAGGGGTTTTGTGGAGATTTTAGAAATTTCACTGATTGAAATCATGAGTCAATTAAAGCTAGACCACCGTGGAAAACCTGGAAGCACTGGACGGCCGTTTCGTTCTAGTATGGGACTCCTCAGCAGTGCGCATCCACGACCTCGCCCCACTGCGAGATTTGAACCCAGGACCTATCGGTCTCGCGCCAGGCGCTTAACCAACTAGACCACTGAGCCG